TTTCAGTGAGGTCCTTCCAGGGATTCAACTGTAGGACACACCGACCAATGCCCAAAGGTGCTTTTTTCACGAGGCAACTGGACTTTGTTTTTTCTTTGAAGATGTTTCGCTTCTCATCCAAGAAGCTTCTTCAGCTCAAAGCTGAAGAAGCTTCTTGGATGAGAAGCGAAACATCTTCAAAGAAAAAACAAGAAAATCCAGTTGCCTCTTGAAAAAGGCACTTTTGGGATATCTATGACCTGGATGCCTGAGAATCTCCATAGGCATAACTAATGTCACACAAAAATATAGAATCTATGCTCATTGACCCTACCGGGCAAATATACTCTGGTCCTGAGTTTACAGTATATGCCATGATCACTCACCATCTCAGTAGGAAAATCTATGTCCAAGTACACCTTAACATACAGAATGATGCAGAACCTCGTAAATGTGTCTTAGATACATGCCGTTAGATGGGACATTGGGCTAGTTTTGGGAGGTAGAACAATCCTGTATTTTTTTCCTACCAGTGAACTTTACTGGAAGAGGAAACTAATTTGGGTGAAATTCTCATGAGTTCCTACATTGTTAGGACATGCAAAGGGAATGTGTGGGTATTTTTTTGACTGCACCATCGTTTCTCTGGTCATCTGCAGCCATCCAAGAGTTCCATCCTTTTATTAAAGCCCAAGGAAAAAAATCACAGTGAAACTCCTGCTGTGGAATTTTCCCGGGCAGGAAAGTGGGAGCAGCCCAAGATGGTTTCAAGTGATGGAAGAGAATAATAATAATAATAATAATAATAATAATAATAATAATAATAATAATAATAATAATAATAATAATAATAATAATAATAATAATAATAATAATAATAATAATAAAGTTGGAAGGGACCTTGGAGGTCATTGAATTCAACCCCCTGCTCAGGCAGGAAACCCTACACAATTTCGGACAAATGGCTGTCCAGTCTCTTCTTAAAAACTTCCAGTGTTGGAGCATTCACAGCTTCTGGAGGCAGGTTGTTCCACTTGTTAATTGTTCTAACTGTCAGGAAGTTTCTCCTTAGTTCTCTCCTTGATTAGTTTTCATCTGTTGCTTCTTGTCCTGCCTTCAGGTGCTTTGGAGAATAGCTTGACTCCCTCTTCTTTGTGGCAGCCCCTGAGATATTGGAACGCTGCTATCATGTCCCCCCTCATCCTTCTCTTCATTAAACTAGACATACCCAATTCCAACAACCGTTCCTTATATGCTTTAGCCTCCAGTCCCCTAATCATCTTTGTTGCTCTTCTCTGTACTCTTTCTAGAGTCTCAACATCTTTTTTACATCGTGGTGACCAAAACTGGATGCAATATTCCAAGTGTGGCCTTACCAAGGCATTGTAAAGTGGTATTAATACTTCACGTGATCTTGATTCTATCCCTCTGTTAATGCAGCCCAGCACTGTGTTGGCCTTTTTGGCAGCTGCAGCACACTGCTGGCTCATATTTAAGTGATTGTCCACTAGGACTCCCAGATCCCTCTCACAGTTACTACTATTGAGCAAGGTACCCCCTATACTATACCTGTACATTTGGTTTTTCTTGCCTAAATGTAGAACCTTGCTTTTTTCACCATTGAATTTCATTTTGTTAGATAGTGCCCAGTGTTCAAGTCTGTCCAGGTCCTCCTATATCCTAAGCCTGTCTTCTGGAGTGTTGGCTATTCCTGCCAGCTTGGTGTCGTCTGCAAATTTGATGAGTTCCCCATCTATCCCCTTGTCCAAATTGTTGATGAAGATGTTGAAGAGCACTATACAACAAAAAGTAGCAGCCATAGCAGGCATCACTGTCTGCAAGGCTGTTTATGTGTGTCTGTGTGATGAAAACAGCAATTCACATGCAAATCCTCCCTTTTTCATGCAAGCGTCATGATATTGCACCCCGGTCCAAAAGAGAACAGAGTACAGATAATTTTCAACAAGGAGTTTTGATTAAAATGAGACTGAAATATAGCAATTGTCTCTCTAGCAGACTATCAACTGATTTACCTGTTTTCCTCAGGAAACCCAATTTTAATATAGGCTTTGCCACCCATTCAATGCTGATGCAGCCGTAGCTGCCATATCCTGGGGATGCCTATACATAAGTTCGCAAAACGTCACAAAGAGTAATTTAAAATAACTTATTCTACCTTAAGATGTACTAGAAAAACAGAACCTCTTTCACAGGCAAAGAAAATTTGAGAATTGCAATTTCTTCATGGAATTGAATTATTGGATCATAGGCCACGCCTCACTACCTTTTTATGATTAGCTTAGGGTAATTAGCCGGCCATAAATTGCTACTCAGTTTGTTCCAACATTGGAAGGCTTACACCATTTGAACCAGGGGCCTGTATTAAAATTGGATTTTCTGAGGAGAATATAATCAAAGAGGTAAATCAGCTGCTAGTCTGCTAGAGAGGCAACGGCTACATTTCAGTCCCATTTTAATTGTAACTCCTTGTTGAAAAGTATCTGTTCTCTAGCCAAATAAATAAATAGATGAACTTTGGACAGATCACTACAACACAAAAGAAAACACATAATCATCAGGGAATTTTGTTAGGAAAAAATAAGATTTCTTGATCCTGGGCCTCTGACCAAGTTGATCTTATCTTTAAATGACCATAGAATTGGCATTATTTTCATTCTATCGTACAATGTTTTCTAGGCTGGTACTATAGAGGAAAATATACTGATTCCTTTTGTTACTATGCACTTGCAAATATATTTGAAAGGTGGATGGAGGTTAATTTAGGAACTATTAATGTAACAAAGTGGGTGGTTTCATACTGCAGTGTAAGCTGTGACACTCTGTTCTGCCATTTCTGGAGAGAAGGCGCACATCAGGGGATACCCCCGCCGAGTCCCCAACCCAAACCTCTCCTTCCCTTCAGCTTTCTGATGTCACCTCTTCTG